CCTTCGCTTCCCTTTCCCTCCCTTCTCTCCTGCTCTCCTGTCCTCCACCCCTCTCCCCACGGGCCAGGTTTTTCATCCCCATCTTCCTCGGAGGAGCTTCTAAATGGATGCTCTTTCTGTCCAGTTCACACAGAGGTAGTGGGTTCACCTCAGACAGACCTTTAGAGGGCTCCCCACTCTCACCCCAGCAAACGGGTGCTGGGTGGGGTGCTGGGTGGGGGGAGGTGGCTCCAAGCACAGGCATTGAACATGGCAGGGTAGAGCCGGTGTCCCCGAGGAAGGAGATGAGGGCAGGCAGTCAGGCTTAACACGGGAGCAAAAACTGGAAGAAAGTATCGACAGACAAGCATGAACCTACGGAGAGGCACAGAGCAGAGCTGCCATTAGGGGAGGAAGGAGCTGAAGCTGCACACGCTCTGGCCAGGGAGATGCGGGACTGGGAGGGCAGGCGCGGGGAGAAGCCAGGGCTGCTGAGAAGAGGGGAAAGGGGAGAGGTAGGAGCCAAGACCGGGGCAGTGGGTGCTCTCCAAGGTGGAAATGGTGGAACCCCAGAGCCTGTGTGGACTTGGAGCCCCTGGAGAAGGAGAGGAGGACCGTGGCTGGCAGGCTGCTGGGCACCATCAGGAGCCCTCTGGGGGAAGCAGCCTGGTGACAGGGATCACTCTGGGCTTGGACTCCGAGCCCTTGTCTGTTGGTCTGCTTAAATATCTGAAACTTGGCGCGCTCCTTATAGAAATGAAGGTACAGCCACTAGCTCCACTGACCTCAGGGCGGCCGTGGGGCCAGGTGGTGCGATGGATGTGAAGGGACTTTTTACCTGTGAAGCTGCTTTGGACTTAGACATGGATTGACCTGTCTGGGAAATGGCTGATCTCCTTTCCGGCTTGTTCCCCAGGGTCTCCACAGAGTTGCGCTATCGGAAACAGCCCTGGGGGTTGGTGAAGACTTTCATCGAGAAGAACTTCTGGAGTGGGCTGGAAGACTACTTCCGCCACCTGGGTGAGCACGCAGTGTCCCGCTATCACCATTCAGGGGAACGAGAGAGGCTGACGGGGTCACAGGGCCCCTAAGTCTGCCCCAGAAGTGGATATAAAATTTTGACATGTATGTGGACATGTGCATTTTCCCAGAGACTGCGCCTGCAACTTTTATGAGATTATTGAGGGATCTATGACCCCCGCTCCCCAGCAGTGCACCTCAGATCTAGCCATGCTGGGGCTTAGTGCTGTGGAGAGGAGGTAGCCTGTGAATGCATCCATTAGGAAATGTGACGCGCCCTGAATTGTATACACGAGGATGCAGATGTCAGGAACTCACGTTTCCACACAGTGTTGAAAAACCCAGAGGAGGGTTTGGGCAGGGCTGGGTCCCTGCAGAACTTCCTGAGGCTCCAGGGCATCCCTGAGGAACCCTGCCCTTCCCATCCACACCCCAGAGAACTATGTAGAAATGCTGTCCTTAGAGAGGACCCAGCTGGGAGCAGACAGAGTTGCTCCTGGAGGCGGTGAGTTGGGTGGGAGGTGCGGGCAGGTCGCCCCTGACGCGGCCCCTTTGTCTCTGACAGAGAGCGAGCTGACCAAAATCGAGAGCAGCTACCTGGCGGAGATGCACAGACAGTCTCCCAAAGAGAAGGCCGGCAAGCCTCCCACGGTGCGGAGGAGGAAGCGTCCCCATGCCCACCTGCGGGTGCCCCACCTGGAAGAGGTGATGAGCCCCGTCACCACACCCACTGATGAAGATGTGGGCCACAGGATCAAGCAAGTGGCAGGTGTGTGCAGGTGGGGACGACTAGAGCTTCTCAGGGCTTCAGGCTGGAGGCACGCCTGTGCCAGTGTGAGCTCCTGCACATGGATTGTCTATAATTTGCACATAACTCATTAAATCTAAGCTCTGGATGTTCTTCCTATTTCCATTTGCCCTTTAACTTACTCAGCCTCTGCTGAACCCATATGTGCACTTTGCTGAACAGAAGTGGCCTTTGGGTTTATGCCTCCGAGCTGCGTAGGCTCCTATCCACCTGGATAGACTCAAGTATGCAGGTTCCAAGTTCTTGGGAATTGCACGTAGGAGAAGCCAGAGCTCAAACCCACAGAGATCAGGGAGTCCAAAGCAGGCCACCAAGGACCTGCCCTACCAGGTGGTGGGTTCCCTGGTATGTCTCCCTCTTCCCATCCAGCATGCACAACCTCATGTCTTTACTCAGTCATGGAAACCTGCAGCTAGAAGAGGCCTTAGGAACTAACCAATCCAGGGTTTTTCACGCTGTGCTTTGCACACACCTGAGCATCCCAGGGCAGATGGGGACAGGAGAAGAGGCAGGAGCAGAGCAGGAGAGGGCCAGCTCGTGTCTTCCCCCAGCTCCCACCAGAGTACACCTAGGTTGTATGTTGCACACAGGATTGCTGACTAGCATCGCATCTGCGTAAGCCACTCGCAGAGAGCTTATGTGGCATGCTCAGCGCCATGTGGCCGGTATGGAGAAGGCCAGAGCTGAGCGCTGTCTCTAGCCCTCACAGAGTGCTGTTTCCTGCCACAGCTGCAGATCACGTGCCCTGCACCTGATGTCCTAGCTGTGTAGGTCTGTTGATTTCCTTTTTTGTTCAGTGACTCTTAATATTCATTTTGCCTGACCCAACCCATGCCCTTGCCCTTGAGGATCTTCCCTTTACTTGTGGAAGGCAGGGTGTAGCATTGTTGCCATGGCAGCACATGGACAGTTCTCTGCCACTCCCTGAAGCTCTGTGCATGACCCGTGTCACATCATCTGTTGGTGGACTTGTGGGCCACGATGGTAATGGCCTCTTTTTTTCCCTACAGGTTCCACGCAGACACGGCATATCCCCGAGGACACCCCCAACGGTTTCCACCTGCAGAGTGTGTCCAAGCTGCTGCTGGTGATCAGCTGTGTGTAAGGGATTCCAGGCTCTCCTCCCACCTGCCCCACTGCCCCCCTTCCTGCTGCTGCTTCCTCCCGGGCCCCTCAGCTGTATGAGGCCCTTACTGTTGTCCTGGGTTTTATATTGCTTGTCCTCTAGTCTTCTCTCTTTGGGTCAGTTGCTCTTTCTGTCATTTCTTGCCTCTGCTTTCTTTCCTGTGTTTTATTCAGCAGTGATTCTGTGCTGTGCCTCCAGGAGGCACGCAGCATCCATGCCCTTCAGGGACTCAGTTTCAAGTAGGTGGTGCAGACAGGAAACTCAAAATTACCACACCGCTGCAGACACTAACCTGGGATGTTACAGAGCATTTAGGAGCCCGTTCACTTGTTTGTGAAAGATGTTCTGGGGTCTGTTCTGTGCCAGGAATTAGAGCTGTGCCCTCGTGGGGCCCACACTTTGGCAGGGTGGCCAAGTGAAATCAATGACTTCAGTCCAGGAAAAGTATATGCTGATTTTATTGTAAACAATTTATAATATTTGCCATAGTGCTATAAAACTCTAGTCTCAGTAGTTTACACAGAAGGGTGCTGGACTCAGGAGAAAGTTGGTTGAAAACAGTGAAGGCATAAGATGAGAGAACACAGCTCCTGGTGTGTCAGGCCACAGCCGCTCAGGACTCTGTAAAGCTTCGCGAGCAGGGAGCAGCTGGGGCAGGTGAGTGCAGACCGCTCCTGCACCTGCTTCAGCCCACTGCCTGACGCCTGGCCCTTGCTGGCTGGTCCTGTGCTGTGAGAATGTGGGGCACAGGTGGGGGACAGGAGCTGTCCAGATGTTTGCTGTACCAGCTCTTTGTCAGGCACTGGACTGTATCCAGTGCAGTCTTGCTTCTGTGACCCACCACTACCCCAGCCATCACTAAAGCATTTTCAGAGGCAGAAGCAAGGACACAACCCTGCCCTCAGGAAGGGATGCCCTGCAGTAACTGGGTCGGATTTGCATTTGGGGAAACCTCCCCCTGATTGCACTGTGATGGGTGAACTAGACAAGAGAGGGCTGGTGGCAAGGAGGCCAAGAGCAGTAGCTGCGGTGATGTGGCAGGAGTGGCTGGCAGCCTGAGATGAGGGGCTGCGGAGAGACTCGACCTCGGTTACACAGGGAGGAAGGTGACTGACTGATTCCCGTGTCTGTAGGTGGGACTTAGTGAAAAGTTGTCAGAGAAGATGCTGTGGGCTCTGGATGTCTCTGAGGGGCCACAGGTTACCCAAATGCAGGTGACGGATGAATACTTGTTGATGTGGACCTGGGCTCAAGAGGGAAGCGTAGGCGCGGCTGCTGATTTAATTACAGGCAGCGTCCAGGCTGCAGGTGTGACCGAGATCGCCAGAGAGAAGGAGTGAGAAAGAAAGTGGGGCTGAGGACAGGCTGTGGCCCCTGGAGGAGAGGAGCGCGCAGACTGCGAGGGGGCCTCCTTACTCACCTGACCGCGCATGCGGGGCGGCCGGAGGAGGCTCGCGGTCGCTGTGACATCCTTCTGAGTTAATGGGGCTGCTGTGACCAGCGTAACCCGCATGGAGTCTCCCATACGAACAGCTGTAAACCTGCGTTTGCCCACCCTGTATAACAAGGAGAAGTAAAATCCTTCTGAATGTGGCCTAAGAGATGTTTTACAGCATTAAATACAAAGACAAAGCCACTGAATTCACATTTAGCTTCAACTCTGTAAGGTTGTTGGTGTCGTTTGGGGTTTGGTAGATGCTTCTGTGTTTAGCTCGCTCTACGTGTTGATGTTATTTGGATAGAAAAGGCCTGCTCAAAGAAAGTACACTGCACAGCCTGGTATTAGTGACTGTTGGGCCTTTGTCACCACAGGGTAATCAGGTCTCGTCATTCGACACCAGCAGGCCCCGGGGGCATGCTGACGGCAAGCGTGTGGACAGACTGGCAGGGCCAGTCACCCCGAGTCTGGTCAGCCCGGGCCACCGTGTGCCTGTGCGTGACCACCTTTCTCTCTCTTTATACCACTTCTGAGCCTTCACTTAAACTGCATGAAAGGTGGCCCTGACCTTCACTGAGCACAGGCAGGATTATTAACACAAACCCGAAGCAGCTGCTAAGATTGGTCTCAGCTCATACTGGAAAGGTGGGCATTCAGGTGACCGGTGTACTGATCGGATTGCACACAGGGCCACTGACATCAGCACACAATGTAGAACTTCTGTGGGCAACTAGGAGCCCTGAGAACACAGCTGAGGGGCCTCAGGGGTTTGCAGGGGCCAGTTGGAAGCACAGGTGAGAAGTTCAGCATCACGCACACGCACACACACATGCTCCACACGTACTTTGTAAGGTCCAAGGCACAGCATAAGATTTTCTTTCCTTGTGGTCTTTTTCCATCTCTGTTTTATCTTCTTGTCTGTCGTTTTTTCCCTGTGTGGGTCTGCATCTCCCCCTTTAATGAAAATAAGGCCCATTGTGGAGGCCGCCTGGGTGCAGGCCTCTCCGTGTCTCCCTTTGATCCCCAGAGCAGACGCAGGGTAGGTGTCCCCCCCTTTCAGAGAAGTGACAGACCTGATCAGAAGTTAATCTTTTAAGTGGCGAGCCTGATCGCAGCCAGCTGCACATCTCTGGAGCCCCTCTTTACCCGAGTCTTCATCCCCTTGTCCTGTGAACTGTCCTAAAATGGTCTTTAGGCAGCCACTGAGGCAGGGTAGGAGGGTGTCCCGTCTCCCGGCCCTCTGACTCCCGGATTGTTCCTGCCACCTCCCTCCTCCCACCAGCCCGGCCCCTCTCTGGGAAATCAGATGGTCCTGGTGACCCCTGCGGGCCTGTGGCGGGTGCGAGGAGGAGACTGCAGCTTTAGGGCCATGCTGCCAACACCTGTAAGGCACACTCGGGACAGAGCTGGGATCCACCGAACTCCTCTTACAGCTCGCCCTTCGGGTGTGCCCTAAAGTTGGGTTGGTGAAGGACTCTTACCTCTGTGTATCAGTTTTGACATCCTAAGGCTTCGTTTAAGTTGCTTTCTCATGGAAGCTCCTTTGTCGCGGGTCACCGGCTGGCCTCCGCTCCTGGTGTTCTTGCTCCGGTTCTCCCCTGCCTCAGTTTAAGGGCAGCTTTCCCCTTCCCCACACAAGTCTGTTTCTAAACCTGCCTGCTCCCTACTCTTGCCCCGCTCCTGTTAGGATCTGTTTCAGGTCCTGGCTCTGTGGTGGCTTCCTTCACCCTCTCATTCTTTTCCTCTCTATCTGAACCCCTCTCCCCCAGGCACTCAGAGTCTGGGTGACTTTTGCGTGCCTGTCCCTTCCAGGCCTTCACCCCACACACCTCTTCATAGCGTTCCTGTCCTGTTCTGAGCCCTCCAGATTAGAGCCTCTCTCTCCCCTCGCTGCATCCCTCTGCTCGCTCGCTCATGGCAGTGTCTCAGGTGACCTGCTGGTCAAGGATCACAGCCCCCGGGGTGGGTGTCCCCGGTGCACAGAGGAGCACACTTTCTCAGGTTACGTCTCATTGCCATTGCTTTCCCCCATGTCTCTTTCCTAGCCTGGTGCTGCTGGTCCTCCTTAACATGATGCTTTTCTACAAACTCTGGATGCTGGAATACACCACCCAGACCCTCACTGCCTGGCAGGGCCTGCGGCTCCAAGAAAGGTAACCCTGGCCTCTTCCCCCTTGCCACCACCTTCATCCTGCCCAGCACTGTGCCCTCGCTCCTGCCTCCCAGTCCCCTTGGGAACTGCCCTGCTGCCCTTGGCCAGGGGTAACCCTTGTGATGAGCCCATAAGCAAGCTCTGAAAACCGTGCGCGTAGTTTCAGTCTGCTTCTGACTTGGGGCACGGCACGCGGGCAGGGAGCAGAGGACAGCGCTGTGATGTGATTCTCTGTCCTTTAGGGGTCTGGGAGCACAGGACAGCCCACTGAGCATAACTCCAGCTGCTGGGGGACCCCTTCTTCCACCCCACAGGTTACCCCAGTCTCAGACAGAGTGGGCCCAGCTCTTAGAGTCCCAGCAAAAGTACCACGATACTGAGCTCCAAAAGTGGAGAGAGATCATCAAATCCTCGGTGATGCTCCTCGACCAGGTAAGATGCCCCCCTCCCTCTCCTGTTCTCCTCTCCTGGAGATGGAGCTCCTTCCTGGGTTCTAGAAAGATCGCCATCTCCATCACCCCCCCAGACCTCACCCTCCCATTCATTCTTTCCTTGGGCCATCCATTGTTCTGATTTTAAAGCCATCTTTGAGTGAGCGGTTGGAAGCACAGGTGTATTCCCCCAAATAATAAAACAGCACACTGGATTTACAACGAGAAGGCTGTAGGTTAGATAAAGGAGAGTTTTTTTGGAGGGAGGGGCACCCGTTGCCATCTGACACACACAGACACACAACCTCGAACGCACCTGCCCCGAGGCTGCGCTGATCCCCTGGGAAGATCACTGCTCTGGGTCTGCTCTTCATAACACCTTCTTCCTAGTACAGTTGTCTGTATTCTAAAACTTAGGTGCATCTATCTAAGAAAATAGTCCTGGGGCAAAATCAGTAAGGAGCTTATTTTTATCAGAGGAGAGAGATTCCTCCTTCCCCGGACCTCTAGCGTCGATGCCGTGGGGCTGCCTCCGCTGCGCAGGAGCGGAAGCCGGGAGACAGGGCTGGTTCTGTTGCATGAACATCCTGTTCCCGAGGGGGTTCTTTCTGACGTTTGTGGTCGGCCAGACCTGACATGGGCCCCTAACCTCGCCACTGAGTAGTTTGGTGACCTTGAGCAAGCGGTTTAATAGTGCTGACCTTCAGTTTCCTCACTTATGAAGTGGGAATTATAATCATTGCTGCATGAAATTGCTGAGGATTCGATGGCAGTTGGAGGCGCTCATTAGTACTGAGTTATTTTCCCTTCATGGTTTGGTCTTAGCTCTGAGCCAGGGAGAGTGTTTTAATGCTGCTTTCAGGATCTAGTGTAATGCATTTAGAGTGTCCTGTCTAGCTTTGGAGCCATGTTTAAGGAGGACATTTTTTTTTTACCAAAAGAGGGTAAACAGCATAGCGAGGAGTTTGGAAGCCCTGTCGTATCAGGAGGGGTTGACAGAATTGGAGATATGTTCAGGACAAGGGAAGATGGGAGTGAACAGGATCGTCTTCAGACGTTGAGGTCCAGCAGGTTAGACTGCTTATAAAAGTGCAGAGGGCTGAATGAGGGCTGGGAGTTACAGGGCATTGGATTTTTGCGTTATCAAGTAGAAACAGAGTACTTCTGATTAGAGCTACTTGGCGGTGGAGTGGCTACTCTGAAGGACTGAGATTCCATCCCTGAAAGTGCTTCAAGGGGTGACGAGATGATGCTGGGTAAGGAACTTATGAATTAAATGAGGGGTTGCGGTTGAACTGGATGGCCATCCTGTTTCAGGGTGGGTCCCCTTATGTTGGAGATTGGAGCCGTCAGGTTTATAGGACGATGGATCGTGTTAAGGTGGGGACTTTGTTTCACTGCCTTTAAAATAACTTATAAAGGAACAGTAATGGTCCCTCCTCCTAACTATTGAGCAGAGGATACAGAAGAACCAGAGAAGAAGGTGGTCGGTTAGGCAGAGAAGCCAGTCTCGGGTCTGCCGCCGTGCACTGCGGAAGCGGACCCTGTTGTGTCGTCCCAGAGCAGCTGCCGAGGCCAGGACGGAGTGTGCGGCGGTCTGCCGGGCCATGCGTAGATGCCACCACTGGCACTGCCCCATTTAGACTCCATCCCACAGCTTAACAAAGTTAATGCGTCTGTCTCCTAAAGGAGGCTAAGAAGTTTGCTAAGGTTAAGTCCGTGGCACAGGTACAACTCGCAGGCTGCTCGGCCCTGCTTGGCACCCGGCTGGGGAAGGGTAGGGGATGGCGCAGGCCTGACACTCAGGAAACAAAGCAGGTAAAGGTGACTGCCCCCCAGGTTTAGTGAGGGGTGTATGCGAGGCCAGGCAGAAGAAAGGCAGTCATGAGCCAGAGCAAGTGTCGATTTGTTCTGGGCCTTAACAGATGGGTGAGATTGGGACAGGCGAGAGGGAAGAGTCCCAGGCTGGCGGAACCTGTGGCAAAGGGTAGGAAGCCAGGAGCACAGCACAGTCAGGATCGGTGGGGAAGCCGAGGGATGGGTAGAAGACGGAGGAAATGGCAGCCTCATGTGGCTGCTTGTAGCCATCGACGCCTTGAGAGAGTTCTGAAAATTCAGTGATCAAGGGCCACAAGTCATTAAGACGCAGCGAGCTGCACGCTAGGAGTCCCCGGCTAGACTGACTCTTCCCTGTCGGCCTGAGACTGTGTCCCTGGAGACTCACCCTTGACTTAGGGGCCCGGCTCCCTTTAGCTCCCTGGCAGGCAGGAGCCCTGCTGTGGGCGGGCTGGGCGGGTGCTGCTGCATGGAGAAGCCCACTGAGGGCACAAACCCGGCTGGGGCGGGGCTCCCTGTCTTACAGATGAAGGACTCACTCATCAACCTCCAGAACGGCATCAGGTCCCGCGACTACACGTCAGAAAGTGAAGAGAAGAGGAACCGCTATCATTGACAAGGCAGGAGCAGGGTGGCTGCAAGAGGCCTGTGCAATACATGTACATAGACCATATAAATATATATATATATAAATATATATATATACAGAGTATAAATATATATTATATACTGATTTTAAAAAGAGATAACGCCTATGTACCAGGGAGAAGGAGCTGCACCGCCTCCCGTGCTGGCCGGGGAGGGGCCGAGGAGGCAGGGACCACCTCTCAGCCACCCTCCCCGACTCTCCCGCCTGTCCTCCAGTCCCCGCCCTTTCCCTTGATGGCCATTCTTGGCTCTGAGAAGGGAAATGTTGAGCCAAAGTTATGCCTGTGAAGACTCTGGGGTCTTGAAAAGAAGTCTCAAGGGGGCATTGCTTAAGGTGCTTCATCCCCTAATCCCCTTTTGATTTGTTTCCAAAATAAAGGGAATCTTTCTTCCCTGCCCCGCACTTCCGCAGATGTTCTCTTGGGAACAAGGAAGCATCGAAGGCAGCAGCCCGACCTAAACTCTCCCTGTGGGCCACCTGTCATGTGGACCATCGACTGAGTGGGTGGAGAGGGCTGCTGGCCAGCTAGGAAGGCGGCACCTGTGGGTTGGGCTTTGCAGCTGCAGGCTCCTGAGGCCTTGTCTTCTGAAGAACAGTCTCCTCGATCACCCCTGCACCGTCCTCCAACCTGGGTAGGGTGTGGACCCAACAAGGGCTGGGGATTTCTTCCTTCCCCACCTTCACCCTTTCTCTCCGGACTTCTCCCAGGCTGGATCTGGGTGAAGTGTCACTTTTTAGTGCCTAAAGCCCTCTTTTTTCTCTGTGCCCCAAGAGCACATGCTTTCTTAGCCAGGGTGAAGTGTTTTTGATCTTGTTAAATCTGTTTTTGTGGTTGTAAGCACGTCAGGTCTGTGGCTCTGATTCCCTCCCTTTGAGCTGTCAGTTGATTTCCAGGGTGAGTCAGAGTGTTGTTGACCTCCAGGGTTTGAGAGCGAATGCCCAGCAGTGTAGGATTGTAGGGTCTCACCGGAGAATGCTGTGTGAGGAGTGAGCACCAACACCCAGGCACTGATTTGGCTCCAGCATCATTCACTCTCAGTGAAAACCAACGTTGGTCAAGGGAGACAACTGTCTGAGACACTTTGCATGTGGACGAAGACCTCAGCCCTTGGAGGGAATGGATTTGGCAAAGGTGCGTGTCTTTGGCGTGAAAAAGCCTGATGAAGTCTCTGCCCCAAGGGGCCACTCCGGGTCCTCAGCTTCTCAGCCATGGGAGTCCTGGCAGAGGGAGCAAAGTCTTCTCTAGTATCCGAACCAGAGGGGTCTGACATCACGGACAAGTAGAAAGGAGACCTCAGGTCAGGAACGGGAGTCCTCCAGGGCCTCTTCAGGGTTGGCTCCCTGGGACCCATGCACTTACTCGACTTTGTGGGACCCTCCTGGGCACGCTTATTGCCCTTCATACACTAACTACTACTTCTGCATCTAACAACCAAAGGAACCAGCCAGCCAGGCAGAGCTCACAGAGCTTCCTGGTCAGGACAGAGTGCACCCGATTGGCAAGGAGAGCTCTGCCAGGTGGCTTGTCTTCCGCTCGGCCTCTCGATGCAAGGGGCGGAGGAAAGGAAGACTTTATCCTGATCTGGCCCAAAGGAAGGGCAGTTTGTATTCCCCTCTTGGAATGGCCTGAGCATCCCACTTTGACAATTAAAAGTTCTTGACTTTCAGTCTGCCTGAGACTGTAGCCTTGTCATTGCCATGCAGGCAGGACGAGAGGACAAAACTGCCTGCCCAGGTCATCCCCCGGGAGGAGCAGGGGGCGCCACGGGAGCCGCTGGTGTACCTGCCTCCCGTGGGAGTGAAGGGGGGCTTTCAAAGGAGTTGACAGGTGCATACGCCCGCAGGCCAGGGGGTCACTGCTCACCTTCCTAGGACTTTGAATGGGAGACCGTGCCCATGGGCCCTGAGCCAAAAGAGGAGGAGCGTGCAGACTGCTAGAAATTGTCCTGCTGGGGTAGCGAGAAGCCAAGGTTATTCCCAGAAACTTTAAAAAAAAAAAAGGTAAATTCTCTAATTTATTCCATATTTATTTATTTATGTATTTAAATCATTCAGGTTATCAAAGGTCCCTGGTGGCCTTTGGTGTGACATGAAAGGGTTCTCTGCTGGGAGTAAGGCGACATGAGTTGACCTGGCTACACGTATGTGCTTTGCTTTACTTCTCAGGCCCATTCCAGGGAAGAGTAGGTGACAGGGAGCAAAGTACTTCGTTGGTTTGAGGAACCCTCAGGATTTGAACCCAGGAGACAGTGTGTACCCATCATGGATGTTTCATGGATGCTCTCTGTTCAAACGATGTTCTGATTTTCAAACCAGGAGAAAACCAACAACTCTGTTCACTCCCTCCTTCAGTAACCTGTGAAAGAGCAGGGCACCCACCCTTGCAGATAAGTCTGGGCTGAGACATAAACAGCCCTGGAGCTCACAGTCGGCAGCCTGGCTTGTGGCTGTCTGCACGGGAGAATCATAGTCTTACCTCTTACCCTATTTCTCCCAGCCATTGCTTTTTTTGTTTTTGTTCATGGAAGAACTTGGGTCACATAGTAGTCTTTCAGCTAGGACTCACGTGGTAAAACATTTGAGAGCTTGCACTCAGTTTCAAAGATTTTGCAAAGTTTATAGAGTCTACACTTCTACTCCAGCTTACTGTGGAGGAATTAACAAGATTGGCCTTGGAGAAGCCAGTCGTGTCTACAGCTCTTCCCCTTTCCCCCATCCACCTCCCTGGTAAAGGGGAAAACATCCTAGGACAATAAGAGCAGCAACTTGCTTCTGTTAGAGCACTGAGCTGAGAGTCGGGAGACCTGGGCCTAAGTCCTGGCTCGGCTATTAGACAAGTCACTCCCCGTCTCTGACAGGGTTGGTCTAGACCATCTCTGATGTAGGTTCTAGCTTTGGCACTGTCTTGGAGGCTACATCAGAGACTGGCAAGGCTGGGCTTCCTTAGACTTGGAAGGTTCCCTTCTGGGCTAGAGCTCCCCTGGTGTTTAGATGAGTGGTAGGGCAGTGTCTGGGTTCCCAGGAAGTTATGGGTAGTTAAACTCTCTTTTTTATGAGCTAGGAGGGTTAGGGAGACCCCGTGAGATGGGGGAGGGGTGGGTTTGGGGAGGGACAGAGAGAGATTAGGCTTGCCGTGTTGCTCAGTATTAACCTAAGATGGTGTTTCCTCCTTTGCTGGCCTGGTCTTCGTTTGGGAGGCGACCCCCCTTTGGGTTTTCTCTGAGCTAGGAGGATCATGGCAAGAAGGGCACCATCTTGGACTGATGCTGTCTTTCACCCCTAGGCTACGAAGCCTTATAATTCGCCCCCTTCCTACTTGCTAGAGGAAACAGTGCAGAGAAGTCATTCCTGGTTCTGGCACTTCTCTTTTGGCTCAACCCAAACCTTGTTGGGGTTTGGATTAAGTGTGACGCTTTGGTGAAAATCTTGGGTTGCCTTAGAGCACTGGCGCTGAGCACCTGGGGTTCCAGGGGGTGGAGAGGACGGAGAAGCCTCAGGAGGAATGCTCTGTTGGAAGCGATCCTCTCCGTGTCCCTGTCCCCCACCGGAGCTTAGACCATGTCTGATACTTTCACTGGCAGCACCTCGAGGCTGAAATCCGGGAGAAAAGACTAGGGAACGAGTCTCTGTGGACTGGGTATGGTCTCAGAAGGATTCTGTCTGTGCCATTCGATGCTGCTGCTTTAGCTCTGCGGGGCAGCAAAAAGCCAGCCCTTCCCTGGCCCTGAAGAAAGCGCTCTTCCCTCGGCCCCGGGGCAGGGCTGTGGTCCCCCTCCCCATGCGCCCGACTACCTGCTCTCGCCAGCGCCCTCCTCCCGTCTCTAGGCCGTGGGACAGGCATCCCATCCACCCCCTGACATCGTTGACCCTCATTCCCCAACCTGCGGCCGGCGGGTCCCACTCTCCACCTCTGTGTTTTCTTCCAGAAGATGCGCTTTGGGTCCGAGAGGAGCGTTTTTCTGGAAGGCCATCCTTTCAGCCCTGCCTTCCTGGTTTGGAGCAGGATTTGCACACGCTGTAGAGCGCCCCCTCCCGCCTCTCTGCCCAGCCGCGTTACCTCACTCCCGCTCTGGCTGTGGCTGGGAGGGCCCAGCCGGCTCCCCGTTTGGTGTTCTGGGAGGACGGCTCAGGGGTCTTGGGCAGTGCTTTCTGTTGTGACTTGAGGTCCTCAGCAGGCCTGGGAGCCCGGACGGAGCCGTGGCCGCTGGCGAGAAGCACCTTGCCTGCCAAGAGGAGCTGCCGCCAGACGATGTGCCTGACGTGCGGAAGCGTAGAGAACATTGTCGTCTCTGCCCCTTGGTCCTCCTTGCCTCTCAGCACAGTGAGACCCTGCAGAAGCGAAGTGGTGGCCTCAGCTCCAGGCAGGACAGCTGCTGTGTCTGGGGAGCTGGCCCTGGGCTCGGGTACCACGTGCTGGGCTCGCATAGTAAAGCAACCATTTTTGCCAACAATAGTGTGTGGCTCATGCATTTCCCGATCCCACACTCTAGGGCCAGGCTGCTCTCTGCATGGACCGATCATCTTCCCAAACCCATGGTGCTTCTCCCCGGCGACCCCCCAACCCCATTCAACCTAGATCCCAAGGTGGGGAGGGATGGGTCAGAGGCTCTAGTGGCCCCTGGACAGTTCTGACATGGGGTGGAGCCCCTGCACCCACAGTGGGCCATGTGGGAAGGAGCGCAGGTCGGTTGCAGCTGAGTGGTCTGGCCGCCGGTGTCTGGATCTGTGACTGTACTTTGCCTGGCGCTGTGCGCAAGGTCTGAAAACGTACTGCTAGCACCTAGGAACATACAAGGCTTCCCAGCCAAATCTTACTGTAAAGTAGCTAGAGCCATGGAAGTACTGTATGAATTAAAGAAAAAAGTATTGAAGTACAAATAATAAATGGTGTGTGTGTGTTTATTGCTTGATTCATTAGTGCTCATTGCCCCAGATGTTTTTGGTCTTCCCAGATGTGATCAGGCCAAGTTCTGGAAGCCTTTGTGTGTAGGCACACACACACGCACACGTATGCACAGCCATCTACCCAACAGGTAGGACTTCTTCCCAGGGGCGGGAGGCAACCTGGTGATGGGTCATAGGTAAGAGGTTTAGGAATCAGACCTGGGTACAAATGACGCTATCACTGTTTACCAACTGGGCCCCATTCGCTACTCTAAGCCTTAATTTTTTTGGAGGTAATATAAAATGTGTGTGAATTTCTTAGAATAGTGGCTGGTACCATAGTAAAATAATTTTTAATTTCATGGCTGATCAGCACTTTTGAATTATAGGAGAGTATTTTGGACTGCGAATCCTGATGACAATTTCTTGAGACTTTCCCTCTTGGGGACTTGGCCCTTCCAGGAAGATGGGCACTGGGAGGCAGCGTGGCTTTACTGCCTTACTTACGTGAACTGGTAAGCGAGTGTGGCCCCTCCCGTCATTAGGTCCTCCTTGAAATTAGCCCTTTGCCACCTGGTAGGAAACTTACTTGATGTCAGGCAGGCGAGAACACAAGTGATTTGGATTCCTTTGTGTTGGGGTAGGGACGAAAGGGGGAAAGGAGAGGCTAGGTCACACATTCACCATATATTCTAGACTACTGACTTTTCTGTTCTATGGGCATGTGTCCTCTGAAGGTGCACCGAGGAACTGACGCAGGCTGGGAGGTGTGTAGAAGCCATAGTACACTTGACACACACGCCTGTGCTATTCACCAGTGGGTAAAACCAGAGCAGCAGTGTTTAGAGACTTTATTGACGTGAGCAGGGAGTTTACTGAAAAACACGACATAACAGGCATTAGGTTGGAGAGCTTGGGTGGTCTAAACAACATCTCTAAAGTTCAGAAAAATAATGGCTGTGGAAAATCAAGAAAAGGCAATGTGAAAGTGACAGTGTGGTTGAGTCCATCAGGTTGCAAGACTAAGTTTGCTAATTGTGTTTGATGGCGTCTCACAAAACGGGTACTCGCAGTTGGGTAGTCACCCCACCCCCCCATCGTCACACTGCCCAACAGATAGCCGCTCTTGCCAAATGGTGACTGGGGGGTGGGGGCAGGTGACAGAGGCTTCCTGGTGTCACGGCTTAGCTGGCCTGAGCCTTGACACCAGGACTGAGTCTGGTCTATAACTCAGACTTGCTTAAAGTGCTTACCTACTCGGTCCTACTATAAACTCAAGGAAGCAGGAAACTAAACACGAGTTCTCTACCACGGTAGAGTTTTAGAGATTAGCAAAGTCTTGGGTGAGGATATTTTTCAGACCTAAAACCATGGGGCGCATGGAGGGTCTCGATGGCGCTAGACACAGTGGAGCTGAGATGAGGAATGAACAGATGAAGGGAGCAGTGAGCACACCAAATACTATTCCCATAGGTTTGCAGTGACCAGATGAATTCACTGCATTAGGGATTTCTCATTTACAAAAGGTGGTGAGAGGAAGGCTTGTGTTTGTTTTTGTTTCTTTCATTTCTGTGCTAACTTGGGAAAGGGGAACCCAGAATATCTGAAATGTGTCTAGCTCTTGCTGCTCCTTCTGCAAAGAAGCAATTACGTGGCCTTGCCCTCTGACTTATGGCAGTGGGTCCACACATTGAGACAGGGCTGTACTTGCCTTTTTGATCTAGTAGTGTTGGGGGAGGGGCTACTGTCTCGTAACCATTCACTGCTCTGTCCATATTCCTGCTTTGAAAACTTCCTTCCCTACGAACATTTCTAGTTTGGCATCTAAGGAAACCAGAAGCTCAGAGAATCAGAAATCTGTGTGTGTAAATATTTGGGGATAGAAAAATGATAGAGGATAATGCTTTTAAATAGACTGAAACTAAAGGTTGGGGCAGGGACAGGCACTGACCAAGCGTTCCCACCCGGGAGCCGGGGCTGTGATGCACGAGGCTAACAGTAAAGGTCAGTCGGCCAGAGTGCTTAGGGGCCAGTTGAGTTGAGCAACCAAGTTCATGGCTGTTAAGCGGTAGGAAAAGGGAAATAAGACCCAGCCTCGCTTGGCCTTTAGTGAATTGTGTTGTTGAGGATCAGTCATGGGAAATATCTAGCACCAAGGCAACAGATTGGGCTCCTAAAGTGATAATAGCCCTTGAGAACATTTCTAAGCCCTTTAATAAGAACGGCATGCAGATCAAGCACAATGCACATTTAGTCCTTGAAGGAATACAAGGAGAAACAGTGGGCAAGGATTTGGAGGAGGCTGGTGGTCACAGTGCCTGGCAGATTTATAGTCATCATCAAGTCTCCCAGGAAGGAGTTTAATTGCAATTCAGGAGAAATAATGAGACACAAACCAACTAGAAAGGTAAAACTGAAATGAGATTGACTCAACGCACATTTCTAGCATCTGCCAAGAAGCAAAGTGGTAGAGGGAGCAATTGAGTGGGATTAGGGCTGAGAGATGTTGAATATCTCAGGATAGCGAGAGAGGCAAAGTTTAGACGGAAGTTAGCAAAGGAGAGGAAATGGAGCAACTGTGATCTAAATGGAAAGAGAACTGGGCTATGAGTGAGAAGATCTGGATTCCAGCTCTCCATTTGCCAACTGTGTGAATTAAGGGTGTGAGAAATCTACTTGGCCTCAGACGGCCTCAGTTTCTTCATTTGTAACGTGAGCATTAGTAATATTTACCTCACAGGCTAGTTGTGGAGAAGAAATGAGATAATAGAAATCAAAATGCTTTGTAAACCATTAGTTCTAATGAAAGTATTAATGCTGAGAAGTTAGAAAAGCAAAAATAGGGAGGTTACTTGCAAAGGATACATAAGGAAAAGAAAAAAGTATTCAGCTCCATTAAAAACCACTTAGGAAACATTTGAGTTTGTTTTTTTAAAGGAAAAAAGAGGTAGTCATGCATATGACTTGGTTACAAGTCAGATGCATGGTCCCCTGGAACCAAGAGGAAAGCATGCAGTAAGGAGCTTGCTTCTACTCAAGCTCTGCTGTCAACCAGCCACGTGACTGGGAAAAGCTCAGCTATGCAGGCCTGTTTCCCCAACTATAAAGTGAGAAAAATCTATATAGTGTCCCCTATTTCTGAAAGATTATGTGGGAAATTGCCAATGAGAAGGGCCTTGAATTTACTGAAAGTATTTTCTTCAAGATGTGAACAAGGACTTATTTTAAGTACTTCCCCAGGGATGGAAGAGATGAAAAAATGAATTTCTCAGGTGAGGCTCAAAGCATCAAAGTACAGACTTTCCCCATAAATTCCTGCAGATCTAAGGGCCATCTCCTTCATCAAGTCCCAGCCACGCTCATCTTAGATTTTGTAAAGCATCCTCCTTCTCATCACTAGGTGCTGAAGGACTTCCTACGCTTGGGCCAATCACTCCATTAAAAGGAAAAAAGATTTTGAGAAGTCTATCCAGTGTTCATCTGCTCTCCCAAATTCAAGAAGAAAAGAAAACCTGGACATTATAGATTCCCAGGTGCAATATTGGAAGTCACCTAGCCCCGTCCCTCCCTTATCACGTCACTCATTTGCTTGTCACCCACGTTTCTTAAATATCGCTCCAAGGTGCATTCTTCTGAGGATGATTCAGGTTCACAGTCCTGTCGCTAAGGAAATCCCTCAGCCTACTTCACGTCTTTCTCTCTGCCTTCTCGGATAATTTCTAGCTACCGGAATCAGGGTTAACATCAGCCGGGCAAGCCACCCCAATCCGTGCTTGTGAAAGAGGCGTGGTCACAGCCAATTTCAATTTCAAAGTCTTTTCTAAAACAAAGTTACCCACCTTGGGCAGTTTAACCCGGCAGCACCTACGGCTCAGCTGCTCCAGTTTATCCTCTGAAGTCAAGTTGAGCCCTGAGTCTCAGCTGCCTCCCATAGCACGAGCAATAATATTGATCCACAAAAGTTTTGAGAGGAAGAACTTAGGAATTTCAGTTCCGATGCCCACAGGAAAATAGGGCTCCCCCGCTACTCATATGGCATGTTCACTTGGCGTGGGGGTGGGTTGAGAATGGGGGGGGCAGGAGGGCATACATGCCAACAGGATCGTGAACATGTGTGACTTTCACAAGCCACTTAAATTGCTAAACCCTTCCCAAGTCTCTTGTCCTTGTCTTCTTGAAGGACTGAGACCAACCCAGGCCTTAGAGACCTCACCAGTTCTAGTCGTGGTACCAAGCTCCAGAGAACATTTAGTCCATGCTTAGGGAACTTTCCATCAGTGGCGAACCTAGAAAAGCGAGCTGTGCTCTGATGCGCTAGTCTAGTGGGCCAGGACCCCAGAGGCTTCCACCTCGTGCCACTCTTTTGCTTTAACCTAAACTAATCACTCTTGCTTCCTTCCTTAAAACATCCATTTGCCTGCAGCCAGTTCCAGACAGTAACGGACAGAGGACGCGCCACCTCCAGCACTTGTTCAAGGTCATTCGGCGCAAGGGGAGAAGTCCAGTTGGCATGGGTGCCGCTTGCTTAAAAGCTAAGATGGGGTGAGGTTGAGTCTGTGTGGGAATGTCGGCTCCTCAGTTCTGGCAGTCTCATGGTGTGCAGGGGTCCGATGGCGTGAGGAAGTCAGAAGCGAGTGGATGTATGAGGCGTGAACTGAAGGGTGAATGCAGGATGGGAAGCGATGTGGCCTCTGGGGCACCCTCCTGATGCTGTTGACATCACTGAACCTGGCATATCCAAGCCCTCAGTGTTCAGGTCACCTATCAATGATAAAACAACTCACTGAGCATTTCCAGCCGAGTCCGGCCCTGCCAAAGACTCCTTGACCAAATCCACAGCCCTCACAGGGGAGGGGGAGGGAGAACTGTGCTTTTGTCACTGGGGAAGGGGTTCCAGCGGCCCCAACGCTCAGGCCAAAGCAGTTCACCTTCTGAAGGGTCCGACACCACACGGAGCTTCGTGACTTGGGCCTGACCTTAAAGAAGTATCCTGAGGGTGGGGACTTGGGGAGGGTAGAAATTAACCTAAGGGCCCAGGTTTAAAGCCACTTGGATGGTGGGTGACTTGTCACTTGTACACCTGCCGTCCTAATCCACCTTCCCCCCGTTGCCTGTACATCACCTCGAGTCACCCCTCTATTCCTCTACTGGCACCACAGAATTCTCTTTGTTCTCTGAAGGGATGGCAAGGTAGTCAGACCTGTAGGAGGACAAATGGGGGAAGAGAGTCAGTACTTTTGTACCCGGAGGTGGGTACAGAACGCAAGGAAAGGGCAGGAGCGACGGTGTCCGCAGAGCAGCTCCGCACTTCCTCGGGCTGTGCCTCCCAGCGGGACGCTAAAGGGCCCTCGCGGTGGGCTAGAATAATAGGAGTTTGTGTTTGATTTTTACTTCCGCCAGCCATCTCCTCATTGATCCACAGTGTTTTCGGGACTTAGTGCTGTGAGACTGAAGTGTTGGCCAAGCTGGTGGGTGTGAAATTCTAGTTTATAGTTGCTGTAATTTTCACTTCCTTCATTACTGCTGAAGCTGAGCATCTTTTCATACGGTTAAGGCTATTTTGGTTTCTACTTCTGTAATTTGTTCGTTTGCTTTGCTAGTTTTTCTTCTGAGATATCTGTCTTTTTCTCATTGATTTCATATCTTGAAATTTTCTCCTTCCAGTCTGTTTGTTTCTAAATTTTGCTTATGGATTCTTATAATGAAGAAGTGATTTTGACATACAGGAGTGGGCAAAAGTACATTTACAATTATGAGTACACAAAGCAGACTTTAGTCTTGTATTATTTATTTATTTACTTATTTTTGTATTATTTATTATTATTAACGTGCTTTTGCCCACCCCTGTATATAGTATAATCCCAATGATCGTTTTTCCTTGTTGCTTTCTGTCTGAAGAAATCCTCTTTAGTCCAAGGTAACAAAGATATTCTCTTATATCCCTTAACAGAGTTTTCATGTTTTGCATTTTACCTTGCCTTTAAATCCACTCACAGTTTGTTTTTGGCTAGTGTGAGAGATAGGGAATCTACTTTATTTCCTATGCGGCTAGGGAATTGTCCCCATCCATTGTGGACAGCCCACTCTCTTTTCAGTGGCTGTTCTGCCACGTGGGCCACTTACTGGCTTTTCTGTACAGGGTAGCGTACTTGGGGCTGTTTGCTTCTGCTTGTCTACATGTGTGCCTATGTCAGTACCACAGACTCTGCTCTGACAGTGCTCTAAGAAATCTTCACATCTGGCAGGAAAAGTCCTGCCAGCCACCTCCCCCAAACTTCCTATTCTTCCTTTGAAATCAGTAAACTACGGCCAGTGGGTTGTTACTCGATTAAAGGGTTGCAAGCAAAGAAACAAAACCAGCCCGGCCGGTGTGGCTCAGCGGTTGAGCATCAACCTATGATCCAGGAGATCGCGGTCTGATTCCCGGGATCAGGGCACAGGCCCAGGTTTTGGGCTCGATCCCCAGTGAGGGGCGTGCAGGGAGCAGCCTATCGATGATTCTCTCATCATGGATGTTCCTATCTCTCTCTCTCCCTCTCCCTTCTTCTCCCTGAAATCAATAAAGATATATTTAAAGAAACAACAAAAAAACCCCCAAAGAATACTATGTGAGAGAGACCCTGTGTAGCCTGCAAAGCCTAAAGTATTTACTGTCTGGCTGTCCCTTGGTTTAGCTAGTTTGACTTTTAAGATCAGCTTATCTAGTTCCTTGAACAATCCAGGAAATATTTTGATTGAAATTTAATTAAATTTGCAGATTCATTTTGGAGAGAACTACTGTGTTCGCAACAGTAACGTTGTATTCTCCATTTAAATCTTTTCTTAAGTTTTTCAGTAAACTTTGTAATTTTGTCCTTGAAGGTCTTGCACATTTGTCAGAGAGTATTTGTTGCTATTATAATTGAAAAAATTTAATGCTTTAAATATTTCAATGCTTTTCTAAATTTTAGTGGCTAGAATATAGTGATTTTTATATTTTTATTTATATCAACAAACTTGTGGAATGTTCTTGCTAGTTCTAATAGTTCGCCAACCCTCAGCTCCCTTAGATTGTCTACGCAGGTGATCATAGTGGTATGAATAATGATAACTTACTTTTCTTTCTGATTCTTACTCTTTTTTCTTTGTATTTACCTAGTCCACTACGAAGGATCGCCCATGTAATATTGAAGAGATTATAGGCAATTCTTTTAAAGTCGAGACCCACAGACGACCCTTGCTGTAGGTCGTCTCAGTAGCTGCCCTTGGTCAGCCGAAAGATGCTCGCTGCTGGGGTTTCGGTTTATATGTGTTTATCCTGCTCAGGATATCTCGTGCTTTTAACCTGAAAAGCCCTGCCTGTCCTTGGCCACTGTATCTGAAATGGTTTCCTCTCCTCGTTCCCTGTTCTACTTTAATGGATCTTCTCATTTTTCATGTTTCTTTGTGATATTTCATCTTTTTATATCTCCGTTCTTCATTCTGTGTAATATCTTTACATTTATCTTCTGGTGAGCCAATCCATGGGAGTCTTAAATTGTAGTGACTGTATTTTTCTTTTTATTTATTTTTTATTTTTCCCCTTCTTGCCAGACCATGAGGTCTAGGGCTTTACTGAGAAGACTCACAAACAGAGCTCATAAAGCTCACAGCTCCCCAGGCTGCATAGAGGCCTGGTTTCCATCTTTTCCTAATCCTCCCAACACTAAACTAGTACTGAGCATCGCTGTGTGCATCACTGTGGGGAGAGAGACCGAGGAGTCACTGGCCGCAGTCCCTGGGGAATTTAGTTTAAATAAAGAATTTTTAAATAGGAGTTATCTGAGGTGGTTCAAACAAAATGAGTGCTTTTTTTAAAGGGTGGGGATTCTAGGCAGCTTGGTAGGTGAGAGCAGGTGAAATAGAAAAGTGGTTAGAAGAGCTCCCGGGCTGGGTGTGATTTGGGGAGGAAGACAGAGAAAGGCCAGGTCTGACTGGTTTCATGTGCTAATGCGTCACCACCATCAATCAATATTATTCAGGAAAAGCTGTGGCCTTAAATCCCCTGGAGGGGGCCAGATGGAGCCAGAAGAACCTGACCGGAGACAGACCCCACCCCACTTCACAGCAGCCTTGGCAATGTTACTTACCCTCACCTAACTCCAATTTCTTTTCCTCCCTCCCT